ATATAAAAAAAAATAAAAAATTAAATTACCATACACTTTCACTAGAATCATTTGGATAATTTCATCTCAGGAATTTCCAATCTCTACTGACCAAAAGGTAAAAGGAGCTGTTAACTTGAAAACAACCACTACATCACAAGGTGGAACAGAGAATTTTGAGATTTGGAGATGTAGACAGACTAATAATAAAGGGTTACTCAAAAATGTATAAATGAAACTAAACAAGTCAACAACTCCAGGTCTGTTTTTGAGGAGGTAAGAACATTATAACTAAAAGCTCACAAGAATACACTTACACATTATTATTCACTTCTTATAATAGCGTTTGCCTTTTCCTGTATCGTATCTTGGGACATCATGAGTTTAGTTTCAGTATTATGTCAGTGACCCACAGTCTCCAGTAGGGGTAGACTAGCCCTAACAGCCCCCCATAGCAACCCACTTCTGAGGCTAAGTTTAAGGCACACTTTTATATCTGTCCTCTGCATTTGACCCATCCTTCAGTGTCTCTGGGTTACACCTGTCAGGAGCAGTGTCCTGGGGAAAAGTCTTTAATTGAGTCTGTTCTTACTCTCGATCGTTTATAGATGAGCATGATCTCCGTCGTCCATCATGGATCTATAAAAGCACTCTCCTCCGCTGTAAAAAGCTTTCTAACTCATTTAAAGCAGCTTCATTTGATTCAGTGTTTAATTTATGAAGCTAGGCCTGTTTCATAATGTAATATTTGTACTGCTGAAGTATTGGTCACTATTAAAAGATATTTGATTTGTCTCATTATCGAACTTAGGGGGAATTGTTTTCAGTAGTAGCATCAGATCTATAGAGTCCATGTGTATTTGAAAGTCTACAGTATATTTGAGCTATTCCAGGTATAATCTAGGGCCAAACCAGGTCTAAAAGTGGACTATGTGATTGTCACTGTAGTTCTAAAGAAACAATTCAAAGGAGGACAAAAAAGTGGATGAAATGAACTCGAAATGAAATTAGGCAAACCCACAAACTGAAGAGCTGTCCAAGTACCACCTGAAGGATGCACACCACAGTTTGAGAAACATTGAAATAAGGTTATGATAAGTGGTATTTGTAATAGGGCAGTGAAATTAATAGAATTTTAATCAAGCTTGACAATTCTGAGACTTTCTGATCTGCTTGGTTCTTTTTAATAGATGCTTTACACCCAATAAGCATTTCTTATTGGAAATGGAAAGGAATAAATGTGACTTTTTTGTATTAAATGGGTTAAAAGCCTGTCTTGTTTATGTTCAGGAAATAAATATTAAAAGTTATTTTGTTTAGTTTTTAAAGAGGGGTAATTTCACTTCTATGGTGTATTAGCTACAAACACCTAACATACAGTATTTAGATCACTGTGTTATAGGGGTGTGCAAAAATATCTAAATATCAATATATCATCTCGTTTAATGTGATGATTCAGTGTCGATATCGTGGGCTGCTATATCAATATACTGCCATGAGTATTTTTTTATACAAGTATTTATAGTTTTATAGTAGAATTTCTGAGGAAGTAAACTAATTTTATGCAACACATTTGAGATTTTCACTGTTTTGATGATTAAAATTTGTGTTTCATATCAACTTTGCACAAGAAGTGGTTTAACTAAAAGACTTTTAGTATCACAGCCATGATTTAAGCCTTTATTTTTTACTGAACTGTATCAAATCGAATTGAAATATTTAGTATCGAATTGAAAGTGCACTGTATCAAGATATGTATCGTATCGTGGCCTATGTATCGAGATATGTATCGTATCGTGGCCTATGTATCGAGATATGTATCGTATCGTGGCTTGTATATCGAGATATGTATCGTATCGTGGCTTATGTATCGAGATATGTATCGTATCGTGGCCTATGTATCGAGATATGTATCATATCGTGGCCTGTATATCGAGATATGTATCGTATCGTGGCTATGTATCGAGATATGTATCGTATCGTGGCTTGTATATCGAGATATGTATCGTATCGTGGCCTATGTATCGAGCTATGTATCGTATTGTGGCCTATGTATCGAGATATGTATCGTATCGTGGCCTGTATATCGAGATATGTATCGTATCGTGGCCTATGTATCGAGATATGTATCGTATCGTGGCCTATGTATCGTATGTATATCGAGATATGTATCGTATCGTGGCCTATGTATCGAGATATGTATCGTATCGTGGCTTGTATATCGAGATATGTATCGTATCGTGGCCTATGTATCGAGATATGTATCGTATCGTGGCCTATGTATCGAGCTATGTATCGTATTGTGGCCTATGTATCGAGATATGTATCGTATCGTGGCCTGTATATCGAGATATGTATCGTATCGTGGCCTATGTATCGAGATATGTATCGTATCGTGGCCTTGTATCGAGATATGTATCGTATCGTGGCTATGTATCGAGATATGTATCGTATTGTGGCCTATGTATCGAGATATGTATCGTATCGTGGCCTGTATATCGAGATATGTATCGTATCGTGGCCTATGTATCGAGATATGTATCGTATCGTGGCCTGTATATCGAGATATGTATCGTATCGTATCGATATATCGTATCTTGGCCTATGTATCGAGATATGTATTGTATCAGGAACTTCTTAATGACACCCAGCCCTACTGTGTTACCTTTTATTGTTTTGAAAATGCTATATTTTCAAAACAATATGTATTAACACTTTTGTTTTTGACACTCTGAAACCCTCCTCCCTTTGCTCTTGGCGCTAAATCACACCCCTTCAGAGCGCTATCACATTAAAAGCGGCGTGCGAGTTGGTAATGAAACCGCTGCACATCGCGTCCGATTTGTGAAGTTGCAGTGTACAGTTTTGTATCATGCTTTTGTATATTAATGGAGAATTGTCATGTGGGAGCATGGATGATGTAGGCTTGTGGGCGGAGTCTTGCTCATAATCTTACAGTAGTACGGTAGGGCCTGGGAGAGCACAAAATTACTCAAACATGCATGGGTGACATCTAAAACCTCTTCACATGTTTTTGATGAGAGAGCAATGTTATAACATGGGAGAAAGCTCAAAAGACTGCCCAGCCCTAATCCCATGCTGCTGTTTGGAGATTCTTGCTCCAGCCTAAACCCATTTTCATATTTTGAATGTTATGTCACTATTTCTTTCGGAGCACCAGTTTGAATATTAGGGAGTGTATCTTTCTCGGTTATATTTTGGTTTGGCTCTTCCTCTGGGCTCATTTGCTTTTCGTATCGGGAACTTCTACTTTTCTCGTTTGAAAATGCAAATCTCCATTTTAAAAGCGGTGGGTATAGAATGTTACAGAACGTTAATGGCGGAGCTGTATTTGAATAAGTACATGATGTGTCCATAAAGCATAATATATTTTCATATCTGCCCACACAAATATGAGCTCTCCCTTTGGTCGTTTTCCATTGACCCCTGTGTCCGTGGTGCTCTTACGGTGTATTTAAAGAAGGCAGGTTTTACATTCAAAATACGGATGAACTCGTAGAATACAGGTATTCTATATGATAGCGCCGCTGATATTGATTGACATTTTGATGGATTGGGTATCAGTTTCCAAGATATCAGTTCAGTCAATATTCCATTTAGTTTATAAACTGGTGTAATAAAATGATACACTAGAAAATGTAAACCTAAAACAGCGCCTAATATTTTTTTCATATCTGGAATTGTGTTTTGTTTCATTCACACATGTTTAGCACATAAACCCTGTATATTCAGCTGAGTTACAAAATTAAATTTATCTAATTTAAACAACAAATTAATGAAGCTGCATTATGTAACTTTTCTGGTGGAGGGTCTGTCCCCTGCTTATCACCATGTTTTTGTTTTGCCTGGAATCTTCCACAGTATGACATGATTTAAACTTATATATTTCATTGTGAGCATATTTGCCTCTACGCAGATCTGACCTGCAACTTTTTTTTAAATTAAAGATAAACTGGCCATAACCAAAACTGCTGTTTCATCAAACAATCTCAGCCAGTGTCCCTCTCCACAGAACGAAGAGAATGGTTAACTGTTCATACTGTCATTAGTGTCAGTATTGTTTGCATATTGATCTGTAAATGCCATGTGCTTTTATTTGTGTAAATCTGTTCATGTTTGATGTGAGAGGTATTTCACATCATTGTTTAGCCTTTCCCCTCTCAAACTTAAGTGGGTAGTTTCAACAGGAAATACACTAGTTATCACTAACCCCATCCCAACAGTTCAACTGAGGAGTTTGTCCAGAGAGGACAGAGAAACAGGGAGACAAAGACTTCCTCCTTATCTTCTATGCTAAAAACATTCCAGAGAGATGATGCCTGAGAAATTAAAACTTCCATTTTTCTCTTCCAAATTTGTGCTCGTCTTTTGACATGTTTTTATCCTGTAGCTGATCTTATATAGCTGATTATTAGATATAATTAACTTAGATGAGTGATAATGACATTTGTTGAGTGGTGCCCCGAAACTCTACTTCTAGTCAAAGCCAAACACTCAAAAAGGCCACATGAGACCTGCTTTAACTTAGAACTCTTAATTCCAGTCTTTAATATCAATTACCCCCCCTTTATCACTACTACACAACAATACGTTTAATGTAATATTGTAAACCAGTTAAGACCATTTTTGTTGTTGCCTAATTTTTAAATATTTTAAAATATAAATAGTTTCTAAAGTGCTGGCCATATAAAGATAACATAAAAAATTAACTGGTAAAAATGTATAAAAAAACAACAACAACAACAACAACAAAAAACCAACAGATGATATAAAAGCTCAATGTAAAGGTGCATTGTGTAAGTTTTCTTGTGGAGGGTCCCTCAAATGTAATGTTATGTAATGTTATCTTGGATGTTTCACACTATAGTATTAAACATTACATTTCTATCTTCATGGAGACCAAACTTTGCCAGTCGTAACACACTAAAACCTGTAAAGTCAAATAAGTGTGAACATTGTACTGAATCAAAAACAAAATTCTGTCTTGTTTTTTTGTGCAGGAGACAAAATGCCCAAAGAGTTCACACAGGAGGAGATGGAGGAGATCCAGGTGGCGTTCCAAAATGTGGGTGAGTGAGAAACAGAAAACTTTAATTGCTTTTGAACAAATTTTGAGACATCTAGGATTAAGAAAATATCAGTGAATTAAATGTAGCTCTGATGAAGCTGCCTGGCTGGTGGTGAAAATTCGGTTTCAAAAAACTAAAACTCCAGTAGTCTCGCTGATAAAACATAAAATGTGTTTATTTTTTAACATTTAGATTTAATAATGCCACTGTCGTTGTTATAAATGGTCTTTTTGTTAATCATTGCTGCTAATGGAGATGTTAATGCTTGGCCTGGAATGTTCCACAGTATGGCATTAAACATCTAGCATTATTATAAGTGTTTTAATTTAGTGCTCAAAATTCCCTTGAAAAACAACACTTAGCTTCTGAGATCAAACATCAGGCTTTGACAAAGACGTCTGGTCGTAGATAAATTATCTTTAATGCCATACTGTGTTAACCTTTCACAGCAAGATGGATTCTCACGATATGTGCGAGTCACAAACTCACAACAGTCCATCTCGGCATGACAGGGTCCGATAGGAGATCCGGTGGGAGACCAATCGTATAGCAGCAGCAGAGCGAAACACCCAAACAAGCCAAAACAAACAGATATACCAGCAGATGTATCTCAGCCTATTTTAGTTTAATACAGACTATTGTGTTGTGAAAAAGAAGATAAGGGCAGAAGATAAGAGCTTTTAGCATTTGTGGAGGAGGGAGATGTCTGTGCGTTTCTCTCAACTGGATTTAACTAAAGTTTGATGTTTGTCTTGTTCTGCTGTGCTGATGCTTTGACCAATCAGATTCAAATAGTCACCACGATGCTCGGTGTTTTCCAAGCTCTTTCAGTAAGAGCCATTCCAGATTGATAATGTGTAGAACTCAGTTCAAAGTGACACTCAGATCATGAGCTAGGCTAATACTATGGGATATTCTATGCAAGTGTTGCTAATAAATGTTGCCTTTCCTCTCCACAGATGTGGATGGTAATGGGTACGTGACAGCCAACGAAATTGGGGGGCTGTTCCAGGAACTGGGCAAACCCATGCCCGGCTACAAGATCCGAGAGCTGCTGGAGTCTCTGGACCGGGACAAAGACAGCCGCATCAGCCTGGAAGAGTTCACCGAAGTAGGTAACACTAAAACAGTCATAAATAGGATCAAGGATCAAGAGTTATGTCACAATGTTATTAAATCATTCTACTAACATCATAACATTCTGTTGTCCAATCATATTTAATACAGATAATTCATTAATGTTGTTAAAATGCAGGCTAACAACAAAAACAGAAGCATGGAGATGTGTCCAAAAAGAAACAATATTTATTTTACAAAGACTACTGAAAAATGTGTACAAACCAAATAAATAGATAATACAAAAAATGAACTGAGGTCAGCTAAGGTCGCTGCAGCGGCGGACCCACTGGCTGCTGGTGGCGGCTCTGCGCTTTTATCTCCCAGCTGATTACCGGCTGGCCGGGTACAGCTCATCAGCTGGTGGGCCGATCTGGGCGGGTGGAGGCAAGGTGAAACAAAAAAACTAGGACACAGTTCGTAACACCTTCTACCATAAAACTGAAGCTACATCCCAAAGATGGAGCCCACCACATCATATTAACCCTCGTAATTAACAGTAACATTGGTAAATGGTAGCATTGGTAACTGATGTGTAGTACATAGTAATAGACTAAAGTCAATGAATAGTTTAGACCCAAGTTACCAAAGTTATATGTAAACCACCAAAAAACTGACTTTTCTGAAAGGATAAAGGCATCCATCACCACTAAAGACTTAGTGGAGGTGAATCAGTAGATGAATCACTCAGTCCTAATACAGTTTGTCAGCCGTAATGCAGAGGTTCATAGCAGCCCATCACCACTTGCGTTCAAGTGGTGATGGTGGTCCTCAGTCTAGAGGGCATCATCCACAACATTGTCTCTCCCCTTCTTGTGCCGGATGGTGATGTTAAAGCCTTGGGCCAGCAGTGCCCACCGCATCAGCTGGTTCTGGTTGTACATTTGGGCAAGAAACACAAGGGGGTTGTGGTCAGTTGATACAGAGACTGGGACCCTAGTGGATCCGATGTAGATGTTGAAGTGCTGGAGGGCTACGAGCATGGCCAACGTCTCCTTCTCGATGGTAGAGTAGTTGAGCTGGTGCTTTTTGAATTTAGTGGAGACTGGATGGGGGACACCCGCCTCATTGTCTTGGAATAGCACAGCACGAGCTCCAGTGGCACGAGCTCCACCTCTAAACTACAGTAAAGGGTTTGGAATAGTCGGGGGTTGAGAGAACTGGGGCACTACACAGGCTTGACTTGGCTGCTTGGAAAACACATTCACACTACGCTGTCGAAATGAAGGGGACGGGGGGACTACAGAGGGCAATGTGTGGGGCAACTGGCACAGAAAAGCTTTTGCAAAAACACTTAATAATAGCTGTTTTCCTTTCTGTTGTAATACAGTGAGTTCTTGGGTCTAGTCACTGATAGAAATGATCAGGTTCAACATTTATGGAATTACTTGTTGGATATTTCTGAAAATACCATTACCAATACCAGTCCAAGCGATACAGAAAGGAAAAATTTGCAACGTTGCCATAGAAATTAACTATTCAAAACTGAATGACTTATCTTGGTCAGTAGTACTCAAAATAGCATCTGTAAGTAGAAATTGAAACCCATAAATAGTACTACTGCTACTACTACCACTACTACTAGAACTATTACTGCTGCCACTACTACAACTACTACTAGAACTAGAACTACTACTATTGCTATTACTGCTACTACTACTACCACTACCACTACTCAAAACATAATATAGACAGTTTTATTGTATTCATCATTTCATATTTCTACTTTTGCAGATGTTCCGTGATGTTAAAAGTAACACGATGGCGTCTGCGTTTAAAAGTGCTCTGAAACAGAAAGAGGGAATCGTCTCCATTGGAGGAACCAGTGAAATCTCCAGTGCTGGGACCACACACACCATTGCAGGCAAGTCCCATGCTAGTCCTAGTTTAGTCCTGATTTAGTCCTGGTTTAGACCTGGTTTAGACAAAGTTTAGTCCTGGTCTAGTTCTGGTTTTGTCTGGGTTTAGTCCTGGCTTAGTCCTGATATATTCCTGATTTAGTCTGTGTTTGGTCCTGATTTAGCCCTGGTTTAGCCCTGGTTAAGTTTATTCCTGGTTTAGTCCTGGTTTAGTCCTGGTTTAGTCTGGGTTTAGTTTAGTCCTGTTTAGTTTTAGTCCTGGTTTAAACCTGGTTTAGTCCTGGTTTAGTCGTGGTTTAGCCCTGGTTTTGTCTGGGTTTAGTCCTGATTTAGTCTTGATTTATTCCTGATTTAGTCTGGGTTTAGACCTGGTTTAAACCTGGTTTAGTCCTGGTTTAAACCTGGTTTAGTCCTGGTTTAGTCCTGGTTTAGACCTGATTTAGTCCTGGTTTAGTCCTGGTTCAGTTTTGGTTTAGTCCTGGTCTAGTTCTGGTTTTGTCTGGGTTTAGACCTAGTTCAGTCCTGGTAAAGTCCTGGTTTAGTTTTGGATTTTTTGTTATATTTAGTCCTCTAGTATTTTCTAGATTGATTAAATGACCTGTATGACTTAGAATGGAGCCTTATTGACTTTCAGTGTCTTAAAATGTGAAAAACAGAACTAGTTCATTATAAACAGTCTGCAGTGGTCCAAAGTTATTCCTCACAACAACTAGCATGCTAACAGCGCACCCTTTATAGTTAGATGTAGACAGTACACAACAGTCTAATTTTGCCCCAAAGAGGTGCACATACAATATAACAACATTGCTCAGACAAAACATAAAATTTGGTTTCAAGATAAGTTGGTCTATTTTTTATTTTTTTTTTTTTTTTATCTTTTTGAAAATTATAATTTATTTAATCAATTCATCAGAGAAATACCTCACAGTTGTTATTTGCTCTTTAAAGGTGTGATTTCAGTGGGCGCTTGAACCTGGCCAGAGCTGGATAATAAAAAATAAAACAGGATTTACAGACCAGAGCTGATTTCACACATGAGGTGCTATAAAACTGAAAACAGATTTGAGAAACGCAGAGTTAAAAAATAAACTTTTCTATGATTTATGCATTTGTACTGGATTAAAAACTATTTCGTAAACTGCACTGTGTAACTTTGCTGATGGGGGAAGAAAGAAAGAAATACAAAAATACATACTCAAGTCATATTTGTTGTTTCTACAGAGGAGGAGCGCCATGCTTTCGCCAACTACATAAACGTGAGCCTGAAGGACGACCCAGACTGTTCTAATTTACCCATCGATCCAAATAATGACTCTCTCTTCAAAGCAGTTTCCAATGGAATTATTCTATGGTACCAACCCATCTTATTACACTTTGTCATTTTTAACAGTCAGTGCATGAACTTTAAAAAAAAAAAAAGAAATAAATACATTAGAAATAAAAATAACAAAATTGCAGTGAGTGCTGCACTGGATCAAAGAAAATTATGCATAACAGGTGCTCATCATACCGGGGGGCTAGATTCACGTAAAATAGAAAAATGTTATTATTATTTGAACTATTTGAACTATTTGAACTATTTGAACTGTGTCCATATTATTGGGACCCATTGAGGCCTGTCATGTATCCTTTATTTGCTGTTCTAGCATGTCAATGTTACTGTTGCCAGTTGTCAAGAGGGGATTGGTTAACCCCCCCCTCTTCCCCCTTGACAATTGGCCATCAAATACCCGGGTATTTCCATTACTTTTGTCTTGAAATCACTGGTATTTTCTTCATGATTTATTGAAAACATTTTCGAAGTGCACTATGCAATTTGAGGGATTATGTATCGTTGACTATACTCCAATCTTTACAGAACAGTGTGATATACCTGTTGTGTTATGAATGGTATGTTGTCAATATACTTGGATTCAACATGTAAAAGTTTTGAAAAGTTTAAATATATATATATGTTTTTTTAAGTATCACGTGGCGTGACTTTTAATAAATTCACCGCAAATCAGAGTGCCTCTGCCATTTTTCTAAATACATTCTCTGTTTTATTTGCAGTAAGCTGATAAACCACTCTGTACCTGACACCATCGATGAGAGGACAATTAACATAAAGAAACTCACCGCTTTTACCATCCAGGTCAGATTTTTCAACCAACCTGCAGATAGAGTACATACACAAGTTTTTCTCCTTCTCAGTATATGGAATAACCTGGTTTAGGCCAGATGAATATGTGTGTCACTCTAAACTGAGTTCTACACATTCTGAATCTGAAACGGCTCTCATTGAAAGAGATTGCGAAACCCAGATCGTCATGACAACTGTTTGGGTAAAGCGTCACAACAGCACAAGACGAAAAATCAAACTTTAGTTAAATCCAGAAAATCGCAGACATCTTCCCTGTCCACAAATGCACAAAGCTCTTCCCTCTGTACGATTTTCGCAAACTAAATTTTCCTGTAGTACTGACGTGAAAAAAGACAGATTCACGTCAGTCAGCGTCACCATGTTTGTTTTGGTTTGACTCACGAAACCCCAGTGCTGCTCTGTGATTGGTTCACCCACCCGATTAGCTGTACAGCAGGCGCAAAGATCGCAACTCAAATACACAGAAATCCATCTTACTGTGCAAGGTTCTATATGGACAGGCGTCGTGTGAAAGCTTAAAACCTCCAGAATTTCCTCTCTGAGCTGCAGAGGCTGCACTAGCACTGATAATTGCTGTAGGCGCTGGGGTTTAGGTAGTGACCACTGAAATCAGAGAGGCATTTTAGGTTTAAACTAACTGCATTTCAGCATTGAAACTGGCAACTCAAATCAGAGACTCGTGTGAGGCTCATTGTGCTTTCTGATTGGCTACTCAATATAAACAACCCATCATGTCCAGAGGTTTTGTATTTAGGAATAAATCAGCATTACAGTTGTTAACAGTAAAAGCTGTATTTGATTTTAAGATGTTTGCCTCATATCTAGGAGTTTATGAAAATTTAAATAAAAATCTTACACACAGTTCTTTTTTTTCCACATTTTCAGGAAAACTTGAACCTGGCATTGAACTCGGCGTCTGCGATCGGCTGTCAGGTGGTAAACATCGGAGCATCTGATCTGAAGGAGGGGAAACCTCACCTGGTGCTTGGGCTGCTCTGGCAAATCATCAGGATCGGACTGTTTGCCAATATAGAACTCAGCAGGAATGAAGGTACCAGAGATACTACTATTATATATACCATCTGTGTTGGGAAGGTGACTTTTAAAATGTATTCCCCTACAGATTACATACCCCAAAATGTAGTTTGTAACTTAATCCATTAAATTACTTAAAGTGAGTAACGTAATCTGAATACTTTGGATTACTTGATTTGCTGTAGAGAAGCAAAAACGAGGAAATCTTAAAAAAAAACAACTTTCAGTACAAACATAAAGGTGCCAGCTCAGTAAAAATCAGTAATATTTTATGTTTTCTACTCAAAATGATGCAGAATCAGATTATTAACAGTGCAGATTTAACAGTCCTGTTAAATCCTGTTTTAGACCTGGTTTAGTCCTAGTTTAGACCTGGTTTAGTCCTGGTTTAGTCCTGGTTTAGACCTGGTTTAGTCCTGGTTTAGACCTGGTTTAGTCCTGGTTTAATCCTGGTTTAGACCTGGTTTAGACCGGGTTTAATTTCTGGCAGTGAATGGAATTACTGAAATTAAATAATAATAATAATTATTTAAAAAATGGAATACAGCCCAAAATGTGAAAACAGGAAAATACCGCCGTGTAATCCACTGTAACTGAATACAGTTACTCATAATTTGTACTCTGATTACGTAACGCCGGTACATGTACTGTTACTCCCAACACTGTATACTATATATACATACTATATATACTACTGTTCCTACTATGACTAATACTACTAACACTACTGCTACAGGGGAGAGGGTCAGATGGAGCAGAGGACGCAGAGAGTGCAGTAGTAGAATGTAACAAAGTAAAAGTAGTAAAATATCTGTACTTTCTACTCCAATACACAGCACTGAAAAGTAAAAGTATTTTTTTGTATTATAGTTTGTGACCTGCTGAAAAGACTGAGAGTTTATTTTTTATCATGTTCATAGTTTGAGCAAACAAAAATATACATTAAATTAAAACAGATAGAAAAAACTGAAAACAAAATTCAGCACAAATCAGTATCAAAAGGAGACGGTCAGGTGGAGCAGAGGAGAGGGTCAGGTGGAGTCAGGTGGAGCAGAGGAGAGGGTCAGGTGGAGCAGAGGAGAGGGTCAGGTGGAGCAGAGGAGATGGTCAGGTGGAGCAGAGGAGTCAGGTGGAGCAGAGGAGAGGGTCAGGTGGAGCAGAGGAGAGGTCAGGTGGAGCAGAGGAGATGGTCAGGTGGAGCAGAGGAGAGGGTCAGGTGGAGCAGAGGAGATGGTCAGATGAAACAGATGATACAGAGGACAGCATTATCTTATATATTTGAACATATTTTCTTGCTTTAGTAGCGTTGGCGGCCCTGTTGGAGGAGGGGGAGACTCTGGAGGACCTGATGCGTCTGAGTCCAGAGGAGCTGCTGCTGCGATGGATGAACTTCCACCTGAAGAAAGATGGAATCATTGTCAAAAACTTCTCTTCTGACGTGAAGGTCAGAATTGAGAAATTACATGAAAACAATGCTGATACCTTGACTTAGTTTATGTAGTTAAAGGTCCCCCATTACACGAATTTCAGATCTATGTTCTAATGTAGTTTCCTCATCACAAACAGACCTGGAGTTGTGTTTTGTTTCATTCACATGTTTAACACACAAACCCTGCAGATTTAGTTCTTCTCTCAAACTCTGTTCCACCTTGCAATGTCATGTGGTAATACAAGAAGTGCTCTGCTATGTTTTTAAACTCCATACACGTTCACAAGAAGTATTTGGATAATTTCAGCACTGGAATTGCTAATCTCCTCTGAACTAAAGGTAAAAGGAGCTGTTCACTCGAAAACTACGAATTCATGACATCACAAGGCTGGAACAGAGCATTTTGAACTTTGGAGATGTAGACAGACTAATAATTAAGATGTTTGACGATGTAAATGCATGATAACATGGCTTTAAGCGTAATATAGAACTTTAAATTCTGACATTTGTTCAGTTGTGAATATAACATTTTCCAATTTCATGTTTTTTTCAGGACTCTGTGGCGTATTTCCACCTCCTTGAAGCGATCGCTCCAGACGGCAGCAAAGAAGATGAACCCAAAATAGAAATAGACATGAATGGATGTTACGTGAGTACTAGTTCAATTACAATACATTTATTCTCAATTTATTCTCTACCCACATTCATACACAATTAAGGTGGGTGAAGTGTCTTGCTCAAGGACACAATAGCATTACAAGCATTAATTTTCAGCACAAAATAATAATACAGTAGTTCCTTTGATATTTTTTTTTAATTTTTGTATTTTTACTCTATTTTGTATCTTAATTTTATCTTATAAGATTGAGGTAGGGCTGTAGTCCTTAAGGCTACGTTCATCCTGCAGCCTGAAGTGACCCAAATCCGATTTTTTTGGTCCCTATGTGACCTGTATCTGATCTTTTAATGACAGTCTGAACGACACAGATCAGATTTTTTCAAAGGCGACCCAGGACACTTGGATATGTGCTCCTGAAACCGATACATATCTGATCTTTTGACATGCGACTTCAATCTGAACAGCCAAAGAGCATTCATCCAACCTACACGTTATCAACAAGCCACAAACGTCACTATTCTGCGCTGAAGTAGGTGAAAATTATTAATGAACTCTGTGTCACTGAAGCGAAGCACATCACCACTCACCACTCTTGACTACGTCTCCACATCCACATGTTCCTTTCAATGGACGTCGCTGCCACTGTCCAACAAAACACCACGGCCAAAAACCTCGTCCTTCTCCTTCTCAATCTCCTCTTTAAAACAAGTAAGTTGTTCATGTTCTGGCTCCGGTACGAGAGGAACTTTAAAATCTCCAGGTGCTCAATGCTGCGTCCATGTTTGGACAACTTCCTTAAACACAGAGCACGCTCGCTGCGGTTGACGTCGTTGTGTCTCCAGTGCACATGCGGGACACTTTTGGGCTGTTTAAAGTCCACACTGGAGTCACATACAAGTCACATTTAATTGGAAATGTGAACGACCTCGCAAAAACATCGGATTTCACAAAAAAATCTTAATTGAGCATTAAGCCCTGCAGTCTGAACGTAGCCTTAGTTATTTAGTCGATTAATGGGTCAGGGGACTCTTAGTGGACCAAAATTTTTATTAATTAAATTGGGACAACAGCAGAAAGGAGAAGTTAGTGAATGAGTGAGCTGAAGATTTTAAATTTTTTGGTATTTATCTGTAAAAAGTCAGATTAAACTCACAATTCACAGGTTAAATCTGCCTTTATTGAAATACATTGTTTCCTTGTGCTTTTTTCTGCATAAATAGTAGTTTTTGCATGAACTCCCCGTACAGGTTTGGGTCAGATACACAGACATACAGAATAGATTTGAGAGCTTTTGCCATGCTCTCTTTTTAGTTGATTTACAGCACATGTCTTTAGCCCAACAAGAATTGCTGTAGTTGAGTACAGACCTAGATTCAAGCCTGTTTTCAAATTGTCTGTGTCCCTTTTTTGGAACAACACAACAGTAAACAAAGCGTCGAGATGGATGTACACGAAGACAGACATTCTGTGTTGTCAATGATTCTCGAGATTGAGGATTTAAAGCTGGAACAAAGAGAATGTTTGTTGAATTTTATCAAGGGGAAAGGCGTTATTGTCCTTCTTCCTATGGGATTTGCCTGGAATGTTCCACAGACATTAAACAGACTAATAAACCTTACATTTATGCAATTACAGGTGGGTTTATAGCTCAAAAACACCTAGAAAAACAGGCATTCTAACTGTGAGCAGGGTCGCCTCTCCACAGATCTGACCTGTAACTTGATCTAGTTTGGTCTCCATGAAGATAGAAAAGTTTAATGCCATACTGTGAAACATTCCAGACAAAGTAATAACATCTGTACTACATGGAGAAAAGCATTTTCCACCAGAAAAGTTACATGACGCACCTTTAAGTTTCAGCACTAGTTTCAGTATCAGTTAGTAGCTCTATAGATTTGACAGCGAGAGTTAGTGTTAATAAGAGGGTGTTTATGTATAGCTACATGTATGGTGATGGTATCTGAACCAATCTGTGACCGAGATCAAACCAAACCAATCCATAGAGCAGAACTGAGCTGGTATAGGCACAGGGAGCACAAACATCTCGGACAGCACACAAACATGTCAATCTTATGCATTTATCATATATTAAAAGGCTTTTTATGCCTTGAATATGTTACACTGAACGTGCCACACCGCAACCTCAGTCTGCTCCGCTCCACTTGATTTTCAGGCACGGCAAACCAAGATACAAGACGAGATATGACCCACTATTTTATAATGTCAAAGCCTGTATTGAAATAATCTGTTTTCATTTCAGCTTGGGGACAACACAAAGCGCGCAGAGGCCATGCTGCAGGAGGCGGACAAACTGGACTGTCGACAGTTCGTTACCCCCGGTGACGTAGTGAGCGGAAATGCCAAACTCAACATGGCCTTCGTCGCCACGCTGTTCAACAAATACCCCGCCCTGACCAAACCCGAAAATCAGGACTTCAATCTGGAGAGTAAGAATGGACTCAAGTTAATTCAGTCAATTACAAGCTGTGATATAAAGAATCACAATTTTTTATTGTATTCTAAATTAAAATGTGCTAGCCTATTTTCAGATTAATTGACTTTGAGCTACTATGAGTTGGCTCGCATCTCCACAAACCTAACTCTTATTTGGCCCGGAGAAGAGCTTATTTGAGCTTGTTTCCATGGAAATATTTAGCTATAATATTCCACAGTTTGGCATAAAATGTATCTATCTCTCTGGAGAATGTTCCGAAGTATGGTTTTAACTTTCTATTTTCATGGAATCCACCTCCAGAAAGCCACCTCCTGGAAGTTATATACTCTTTATTAAATAATACTCTTTATATAACTTTATTAAATGGATGTTAAACTAAAATTTATTTTGTGAAATTAGTAAAGGAGTTAAACGCCCAATGAAGTAGTTTAGGATATTCTTTTGAATATTTACATTTAATTTAATTAATTAAAATATCTTTTTCAGGTGAGACGAGAGAAGAAAGGACTTTCAGAAACTGGATGAACTCACTTGGAGTCAACCCACATGTCAACCATCTGTACGGGTCAGTATCAGGTCATTGTTACAAAAGCTTAAAGCAAAATGCTTAAAAATAGCAGCAACAGAAAGAATGTTGATTGTATAAGTGTATGATTTAGTCTTGTCTTCACCACCATAAACCCATGTTATTTGTATAATCATTGTTATGTTTACAGTGACATACAGAGTGCCTTAGTGATATTTCAGCTTTATGAAAAAGTGAATGTTGAGGTGAACTGGGACAGAGTGAACCGTGGACCCTTCAAACAGATGATCGGAGGAAACATGAAGAAGGTAACGCTAATGTAATTTTAAACCAGACCTAAACCAGGTCTAAACCAGGAGTAAACCAAGTCTAAACCAGGTATGAGTCAAGTCTAAATCAGGACTAAACCAGGTCTAAACTAGGGCTAAATCAGGACTAAACCAGGTCTAAACTAGGGCTAAATCAGGTCTAAACCAGGTATAAACCAGGACATGAAAACCTGACTAAAACCAGCAATGAGCTGTGACTTGGCCACTTGTTAGTCTCCAGAGAAAAATAAATGTAATGCTATACTGTGGAACATCCTAGGCAAAGCAATAACATCTCCATAAAAACAAGCTACCTGCACCTTTAAATATTTTAAAGACAAAGCTGCTTCTGTCCCTCTTTCAGAATTCAGCAAGTCTTATTAAAAATATCAAAAAAATAAAAAATACAAGAGGCATTTGTTCTGCCTGCATCTCAGTTACACATTACAGAAGTAGGATGTTGTGATGCCATCTGAAAGCCATGATTTGATTGGTTTAGGTGGAGAATTGTAACTATGCGGTGGAGCTGGGAAAGACCAAAGCTAAATTCTCATTGGTTGGAATTGGAGGAGAAGATCTTTATAATGGCGTCCAAAATCTAACGCTATCTGTTCTCTGGCAACTCATGCGAAGGTAATCCTCTGTTCCCCTGACCCTCTCCTCTTCATCCTCTGTTCCTCTGCTCCTCTCCTCTTCATCCACTGTTCCTCTGCTCCTCTCCTCTTCATCCACTGTTCCTCTGCTCCTCTCCTCTTCATCCACTGTTCCTCTGCTCCTCTCCTCTTCATCCATCTGCTCCTCTTCATCCACTGTTCCTCTGCTCCTCTCCTCTTCATCCACTGCTCCATCTGACCCTCTCCTCTTCATCCTCTGTTCCTCTGCCCCTCTCCTCTTCATCCACTGCTCCATCTGCCCCTCTCCTCTTCGTCCACTGCTCCTCTGCCCCTCTCCTCTTCATCCACTGCTCCATCTGACCCTCTCCATCTTCTGCCCTTCTGACCATCTCCTCATATTTTTACATTTGCAGATACACAGTAAATGTCCTCTCAGATCTTGGTCATGGAGAAGTGGCTGGTGATGACTTAATCGTGTCGTGGGTGAATGAAACTCTAGAAAAAGCAGGAAAGACCTCATCAATCAAAAGCTTTAAGGTAACTTTTGTTTTTCATTTAAAGAAACAGAAGCATTAGTCGTTTTCCCCAAGTATTGACTATCTGTGGGCTTCTGTCACCACTATTTGTCAGGCTAGGATAGTTTTGATACTAGTTTTACTATTGATTACTATCTGATTTCCAATACTTCTGATGACCCCAACTGTACTTCCCTGTATTTCACAGGACCCAGAGATCAGTAACAGTCAGCCCATACTGGACCTGATCGACGCCATCCAGCCCTCCAGTGTGAAGTTTGACCTGGTCCACACCAAAGATGAGCTCACGGACGAAGAGAAGCTGTCCAACGCTAAGTACGATGATACATAAATTAACTGCAATCTGAGCTATGTCATTAAGTTCTTTTTATAAACCAAGAGTTTTTTTTCATACCTGACAGTTTCGGCTGCTCAGTAGCGGTCTTCCTCAAAGTGGTCATGTGATGTTGCTGTGATGTGTCCGGTCAGCTGATTTATACACCTGACCACTCTGAGGAAGAGCGCTAGTGAGCAGTCGAAACGGTCAGGTATGAAAACAAACTCTTGGTCTGAAAAAAGAACTTAAAGGTTGTATGAAGGATTTTTTTGTTTCAAATTGTCAATGAAAGTTTAAAATACCATTACAGAGATGCAGCAGCCTTGTAATTATAATGACCAAAAAAAAAGAATGAAAATCCATCAACTGTGGATGTAGTGAGGCCAATAGATAACAAGGCTACCTCACTTTCTATTGGCTGTTAGGTTGTCAGTCAAACTCCCTATGTTTCTAGTGTAACTGATTTTAAGTCAGCAGAATCAGCTCCCTCTGTGTATCAGACTGACTGAATCACTGCCTGTTTTTAAGTCCCTCCTAAAAACTCACTTTTTCTCCTTGGCTTTTAAAGTTGAGTTGAGTTAAAAGTTTCTCAAACAAATAATGATACAATTGAACTTTTTTTTGGATCATAAGATTGGATATTTCTTAAAAAAAAAAAAAAAAAGGTCCCCATAGAATTATAAATATACAAACAGTCTTAATTGTTTTAGCTTTAATTTCCTTATGCATCAACTTTGATTATGAAATGAACAGATGTCACCCAATAACAGGTTTCAGGAAGTAGAAATAATTAGTGTCAAATTGTACATTACAATCTTCCTCTTTCTTTCTCTTATTTTCAGATATGCCATCTCTATGGCCAGAAAAATCGGTGCCAAAGTTTATGCTCTGCCTGAAGACATCGTGGAGGTGAACCCCAAAATGGTGATGACCATCTTTGCCTGTCTGATGGGACGAGGTCTGAAGAAGGTCTAAACTGGGACTAAACCAGTTCTAAACCAGGTCTAAATCGGGTCTAAAACAGGTCTAAACAGGATCTGAATCAGCTCCAACCCAGATCTAAATTGGGAATAGACCAGTTTAAACTAACTGCAATATATTTTTACACATTTCAATTTAGAGACTTTTCTTTGCATTTCAAGTAAGAATGGACTTGGAAACAGCACTGGATTCTCTGTGTAATAAAGAATATGACTAGTTTACTGACTTTTTAAAAATAAATGCCTAAAATTCACACAACCTACTCACTATATATATATATATATATATATATATATATATATATATATATATATATATATATATATATATATATATATATATATATATATATATATATATATATACACATATGTATGTATGTATATGTATGTATATATATATATATATATATATATATATATATATATATATATTAGGGGTGTCAAATTATCGCGTTAATTGCGATTAATTAATTACAGTCATATTTAGCGCGTTATGTTTTTTAATCGCGTTAATCTCATTTTTAATCTCTAACTTTACTGTTTCTGTATGCGAGTTGCTTTATTATAAAACCTGTTTTTATGTGTTGTTGGGACAACAACACACACACACACACAAAACACATTTATACATTTTTTTATTTCGGTAATTCCACTCATTGCCGGAAACCCACACAAAACGCGCGCAGTAAGAGCGATGTAAACGTCACATTAACGTTGGCGGCGTCAGTCGCACAATGGACGAGGTCGTAGAGCCAGTAGAACAGAGTCAGCAGTGCACAGGTAAAAACGCATTCGTGTCTTGGAAATTATTCTCCCGACGTGAAATATAAAAGAAAATAACTAATATAATATCGCCTACAACTTAAATGTCACTGGTGAAAACAACCTGCATAGGCTCATGATGTCTGCACTACTGTCCTATAGTGACCTGCCACATGAGGGGACACGCACACACAAACACAAACACACACAAATACAAACACACAGCTTCATCATCGTCATTAACCTGAGAACGCGCGGACCACGTTTCCTTCCGTAGTTACTGCGCGGACACCGACGTGCTCCCGTGCGCTGTGTGTGGATCGTGTTTTCTCGCGTACGCTGCGTAAACCGCGCTTCCTCCTGTGCGCCTCTAAACCAGAACTAACACCAAGACTAAAACCAGGACTTATCCAGTCCAGGACTAATCCAGGTCTAAACCAGGACTAAAACCAGAACTAAAACCAGAACTAAAACCAGGTCTAAACCAGGACCAAACCAGAACTAAAACCAGAACTAAAACCAGGACTAAACCAGGACTAAACCAGGACTAAACCAGAACTAAAACCAGGTCTAAACCAGGACTAAACCAGGACCAAACCAGAACTAACACCAGGACTAAAACCAGGATTAATCCATTCCAGGACTAAACTAGGACTAAAGTAGGACTAAAGCAGGTCTAAACCAGGACTAAAACAAGGACTAAAACCAGTGATCTCATATATATATAAAGCATTTCTCTATCAATAATATTTTTAACATGGTTAAGGAAAGACTGGACTTTTTATTGTCTTTAAGTAGACAAAAGTTATTATGTTCAGATTTCCTCGTCTTTGCTACTTTACAGCAAACAGTTTCTAATTCATGGAGACTTGGGCTCAACAGCCAATTTGGGGAGATTTGATAAACAATAAATGACTTTATAAAGTAACTTTTTTTTGTTCTATATCAGTCTTTTGATCTGCCACAATAATGTAATAATGAATTTAAATGAAAATACCTCAAATTGAAGGCTTTTCTCAGCAATTTTAGGTGAGATTAAAATGAGATTAATTAGATTAATTAATTACAGATCATAATTAATTAATCTCTCAATTTTTTTAATCGCAACAGCATAATATATACTATATATATATATATATATATATATATATATATATATATATATATATATATATATATATATATATATATAATATATATATATATATATAGCTACCACTGAATAACTTCTCTCGTCTCAGTGGATGGATATGTTCCACAATATGGCATTAAATATGACATCTATCTCCATGAAGACAAGCGGGTGACAGGCCAGACAGGCCACATTACTTGTCAAATCTGTGGAGAGGCGAGTCTGCTCACTGTAATAATACATGTTTTTTCAAGGAATTTCTTGCAATAAAAACACCTGTAATTGATAACTATAGATACATTTTAGACACTTCCATGGAGACAACCAGAAAGGTTCCATAGTGCACCTTTAAAATGTACTAATGTCTTGTCCACATGTGCTTACAAATAACATTATTGACTAGATTTTGGACTAGACTTCATTCAATCTGTAATACACTAGTGGATGGATGCATATCCTTATTTTTACATGGGCCATATTCACTTCAGTTCTTCATTCAATCCCTGAGGGGATATTTCTGTGTTTATCAAATTGAGCAAATGGTCTCTTTCCTGTGAGCAATACTGTGTACTATCCAACAAAGGATGTCAAATAAAGAACTTTTTTCAGAAATGTGTGGCTGTGCTGATTTTTATTTTGTCAATTAAAATAATAGGTCATAGTTTAAGACAATGTCACATTTTTACTGGTAAAAAAATAAAAATAAATAAATATACGTGAGGCATATACTGAGAAAGAAAAACACTCATGAATGCAGAACAATTTCTTTAATTATGCACTCGTTTCACAGTTTAATTATTACCAACCACAACAAATCAGGGGTGTCTCAGTTTTTAATTTTGAAAATCTGGTCACTCTATTGATGACAGAAATCAGATTCAGGCAGTCCTCCCTTCCGACAGCAATGTGGGTAAGAGGCAGGACACGGTGATTATCTGACCTGGATGATCAGTCCCCGACTGCAGCCGACTCCGCAATCAGCCTGGAATCCCACTTCTGACACCAAAAATTGTCATGGAAAATGATGTTTTTAAATAACAATCATCCATCGAAGCAACAAAAATAAAAGTTTATTTAATATCTTTGCAAAGAGAGACGGAGGACAAGTCTGTTCAATGCAGGGCTGTAACTCTGTCTGAACTAGCATCAGACTTCACAAAACATATACAGGAGTGTCTAACCAAGTATTATCAAAAGAAAGGGAACATCTGCACCTGTGCTGGGTCATGATGCTCCAAAACATACGGAAGGACAGTTACTCCCTAATATGAGGAGAGCAGCTCTCATTAAACAGGATATGAAACACACAGTGAAAACTGAATAACTGCACGTAGTAGCAAAAACTGTATTTTTCCATTACAGTATTATGTCATAATTTATAAGATATAAGTTGTTTTTCCCCCATTTTTGACGTGTATTGTACGGGGGAAAAAACAATTTATGTCTTATAAATTATGATCTATCTTACCTTTTTTTTGTGTCTGTGGAGGTTTGAAGTCCAAGGTCCAGCCAAGCAAGCGCTTACCAACTCAGTCTAATACCACGCCCTGTTTTGTTTAATTGGTGGCAATTTCTTAATTCGTGGAAATGGTCTAACTAAAACGTGTATGTAAAATTTATATGGAAATGAATTAGTTAAAACATGGGAATGGTTTATCTAAAGTGTGGAAACAAAATAGTAATTTGAGGCCATGATTTAGTATCTTTTTTTGCGTATGTCATCAGGCGGGCTCCGTAGCATATATTTTATTTATAGCGCAATAGTTTTAATGAATATTCGTAGTTACAGGAAGTTACATAGTACAAAGGAAAAAATAAAACAGGCTATGTAGTATGTAATTAATCAATTCATTTTCCACTAATAAAACATCTACTAATGAATACAATAAAATGTAAAAGTCTACACTTGGTATTTCCAAATTATTGGTTTGAAATGAAGAACATTCACTAAAAGGAAATACATAAAGTACTAGTATCATTATATGGTTATCTGCTATTTAACTCAACTGTCAAACTAAAATAAATGTAAATGTAAAAATACTCCTCACCAGCAGATGGCGCGTGTCCTTTCACTGAAATCCAACATGGTGTTTTATTTATTTATTTATTTTTAATGAATTATTTATTATTATTATTATTTTTTTGCTTTTGACTTATTATTTTACTTTAGTTATCAATTGATCACTGTTGTTGTTTATTTATTTAATTATTTAATTCTGTTTTGATTATCGCCGAGTCGCGTTTCAGTTCACACGCCATATCAGTTGGTGGCGGTAATGCACCAGTAGTTGTTTGCCAAGAAGAAGAAATCCAACATGGCGTCGCAGTATTTTCAGACGATGCAGGAAAGCTTCAAAAATAACAATAAAAGTCGTGAATTTCAGGCCCATTCTGCCAAAGTGCACTCTGTGGCGTGGAGCTGTGACGGGAGGAGACTGGCCTCAGGCTCCTTCGATAAAACCGCTTCTGTTTTTGTCCTGGAAAAGGATCGATTGGTGAGTTTGGGCTAACGTTAGTCTTACCCTAATGAATGAACGTGCTGCTTTGAAACGTGCAGTGTTGGGAAGGTGACTTTTAAAATGTATTCCCCTACAGATTACAGATTACACACCAAAATGTAGTTTGTAACTTAATCCATTAAATTACTTAAAGTGAGTAACGTAATCTGAATACTTTGGATTACTTGATTTGCTGTAGAGAAGCAAAGACAGGAAATCTTCACATAAGTTGTTTTGTCTGCTAAAAGAAAATAAAAAGCCCAGACTTGATTTAACCGTGTTAAAAATATTATTGATAGAAGAGGAGGAGATACATCCACGCAGCATGGTTTAGTCCTGGTTTTGTCCTGTTAAATCCTGGTTTAGTCCTGGTTTAGTCCTGGTTTAGTCCTGGTTTAGTCCTGGTTTTGTCTTGTTAAATCTTGTTATAATCCTGGTTTAGTCCTGGTTTAGTCCTGGTTTAGCCCTGGTTTAGCCCTGGTTTAGCCCTGGTTTAGCCCTGGTTTAGTCCTGTGAAATACTGTTATAGTCCTGGTTTAGTCCTGGTTTAGACCTGGTTTAGACCTGGTTTAGACCTGGTTTAGACCTGGTTTAGACCTGGTTTAGTTTTCGGCAATGAGTGGAATTAAAGAAAAAAAGAAAGAAAAAAAAAAGGGGGGGGATAAAACCCAAAATGTGAAAACAGGAAAATACCACCGTGTAATCCATTTATTTCAACAAAGTAACTGTAATCCAATTACCACTCACTGAAACAGTAACTGTAACTGAATACAGTTACTCATAATTTGTACTCTGATTCCGTAACTCCGGTACATGTAATCCGTTACTCCCCAACACTGGAAACGTGTTCCTCTAAGACTTTTTATTATTTTCTCTGAGTAAAGTCATAGTTTTGGGATTTATCTTTATGTTGAGAAAATACTGCACTGAATATCTAATAATTGGATTGTTAATGATTCAAAGACATTTTCTTCATAGATTTTCAAACCTGTGTATTTTGATTATAAACTTTAACCTCTTTAAATCATATCTAGTCACTAATCCAGCATATTTGTTTACTGTCACTGTCGTGTTTTATACCCCTAGAATTAGATTTATATATTAGAAGGGCAGTGTCATGCATATGGAAGATAATTTGTTCTATTAGATTTTTTATTTTAAATACCGCTAAATTTCTTTTTTTTTTTTTTTTTTTTTTACTTTGAAAAAGAATTGAATGTTTGAATTCTTTTTATTCTGAATGTCAGGGGCTGATATTTTAAGTATACTTTTTCAATATTTAAACATAGTGGATTCCAGGCACTCCAAAAAAGTAGAAAAAGTAAAAAAAATCACACCAGGAAAAATAGAGTTAAAAGGCCTTTATTTGAATGAATGAATCAAAAAAAGGCCTTTTAACTATATTTTTCCTCGTGCTATTTTTTTTTACTTTTTCTGCTTTTTTGGAGTGCCTGGAATCCACTATGTTTAAATATTGAAAAAGTATACTTAAAATATCAGCCCCTGACATTCAGAATAAAAAGAATTCAAACATTCAATTCTTTTTCAAAGTGCCTGGTGTCTAGGGCTGGGTATCATTAAGAAGTTGTCGATACGATACAAACCTCGATACGTAGGCCACGATACGATACGCTTGCAATACAGTGAGATTTCGATTTGATAGGATTCGTTACAATATGTTTCACATTGATTCGATATGGTTCAGTGTAAAAAAGGCTAACTCATGGCTGTTATACTAAAAGTTTATTAAGTTACTGCGAAGTTAATTTGAAAAACACCAATTTTACTCATCAAAATTGTGAAAATGTCAACACTTCTGTAGCTCTTACACAAAATAATTTAGTAAAATATACCAAAAATTACTCTTGACGATATATCAATACAGCAGTCCACGATATCGATACTGCATCATCACATTAAACGATACGATATATCAATATTTCAATATTTTTGCACACCCCTACTGGTGTCCGTTGTGTTTAAGTTTTGATCCTTTTTCCAAGAGCACCCTCTACTTGCTCCCACTGATTGGAACACCTGCAGCAAACAGCCACATTTTTGTTCTTTCCACTTTTTCAATATGTTTCAAATTCAAAATAAAAATTTCAGCTTTTATATATATTTTCAGCACAGTTAAGAATTTTACACTCAGTTTTGAATTTGAGGGCGTGAAAATATTTGTGCTGAATATTTGTAAACGTATAATTTATTCAGCTATAAAAAGAATTCAGACATGCCTTTTCAGAATTTAAAAAGTCAAAGTGAGAAATTCGGCGGCATTTAAAATTCAAAATCTGATGAAAACAAATTATCTTCTATACATGCATAACTATTAAGTAACAGTAACTAATTAGAGATGCCATAACATGTGTAAAAGGTACATTATGTACCCTGGAGGTGGCACATCACCTGTATATAAATGGAAAGTTCTAACCATACTTAGGTGCATTCTCCATGGAGATAGATGATTTTGTGCCTTACTGTGGAGCTAAAAAAACAACATTTACATGGAAACGAGCAGGATGAATGCATATTTTTCAATGCCATAAACAGAATTAAAATGTAAAAAAACATGCTTTTATTTTTGTGAATTTTTCTGCAAAAAAATTACATAGTGTGGCTCAAACTATATTCTAGATTACCGTATTTTCCGCACTATTAGGCGTTCTGGATTATAAGGCGCACTGTCATTGAATGGTCTATTTTCGAATTTTTTTCACAAATAAACCGCACCAGACTTTAAACGAAACACAGCAGTTGGATGGGTCAGTGGGACTTTGTTTTTGGTGCGTTCACGGTGACTCTGGGCTTTGTTCAGTTGTGGCGTGTAGGGAGGGTGCTGTCTGGGACCTCTGGATTGTCGGCGTGTTCGCAGTTGTTCAGTTGTGTCTAGAAGTGGCACAATGCACTCACTTTTTCAGTTCGTTCCTCCGTTCCGTTCCTCCGTTCCGTTCCTCGTCGGTGTGGAGTGATGAGTGTGTCTGTGGGTGTTTTTCGCTGCGCGGTCGCTGTCTGCTCCGTGTGTGTTTGCATATTCTGCGGGTGGTGCGACTTTATAGTTTACTGAAGTCGTGCTGGGACACCCGAGTGGATTCATGTATAGGGCGCTCTGGATTGATGTTTTGTGATGGGGTTAGAGGCTTAAGAGTGTGTCCAATAGCCCAGAAAATACAGTATACAAAGATGCTGGCTTTCTTTTTCTGTTGTACATATTTTATTTAAATTTTTACGCAGGAGTGGGTGATATGCTTAGTAGATTTTGAGTACCAATAGAAGGAGAGGGTTGGGAAAAGTCTCTTTGTTGGATCATATTGCATGAGTCACGTTGTGATTTCACCAAAGTGGCACATTCACCAAACCACTAATAAAAAAAATAACATAAAGGCAATTATAAAACTGTATATATTTTATTTTGTTTTTAGGTGAAAGAGAATAATTACCGTGGGCATGGAGACAGCGTGGATCAGCTCTGTTGGCATCCCACAAATCCAGATCTGTTCGTCACAGCGTCAGGCGACAAAACTGTGAGAATCTGGGACGTCCGCACCACAAAATGCATCGCCACAGTCAACACTAAAGGTATGAGCTATTATACACAGGAGGGACAAGAGAATATGTGGAGAAGGTAGGCCTGTCTTGGTAACAAATTCTGAAGCACGCTATATTGCAACAGAGAAATGTCACAATAAACAATAATACTGAAACTACATTTTGCTCCTGATAAAATAAAAAAAAATAAAACAGTATAATCACAGTCAACTTTTTAAAAATACAGTTTCATTAAAAAGCCCGAGCTACAACAAATAAATGGCAGAATGAAACAATAATTAATCATGAAGTTATTTTTTCATCTCTCTACTTCTCAAATCTTACCGTATTACATAAAAAATACCAGAAAGCTCCCCACCATTGCAACAAAAATATGCACATGATAAATAATACGCTCCAGGTTTTTTACATAGATTCTGGGGAGACTATGTGTATATTTAGATTTTAATAATTTCATTTTATACAATTTGAGGAGTATAATAGAAATTCATTGCCTATAATGCCTATATTGCCTATATGTTAAAGCAGTCATACTTTTAATTGTTTATAATAAGACAATGGTCAACAAAGTGTAATTTTGTGATGTCAGTGTATCGTCTAGGTTGTTTTTATTTACTGTATAATGTAACAGTCTCTTATTTACTTTGTTTTTGTCATGTTTAATTGCACATTTATAGGAGAGAATATAAATATTTGCTGGAGCCCTGACGGTCAGACAATCGCCGTGGGAAACAAAGACGATGTTGTGACTTTTATCGATGCCAAAACTCAGCGCTCCAAAGCAGAAGAGCAGTTTAAGTTCGAGGTGAACGAGATTTCGTGGAACAATGACAATGACATGTTTTTCCTCACCAACGGCAACGGCTGCATCAATATCCTCAGGTAACTCATATGTCTGTGTCCATCTCTCCCTAAAATCGAAACCACTATTTAAAATGATCATTACGTAACATAATGCCCTCTGCGAACAACACAATATTTCAGTTCAGTTTATTTATTTGAGCAACATGAAATATGACATAAATATAAAATTATTACTGTACATATTGTGCTGTATTACAATTATGCTCAAAAAGGAGTAGGAAGAAGTGTAAGCTTATAAATTCCTACCACTCTCACAATATGATACCGTACTTAACTTACAGCATGTGACTTTGACACAGTTTATTGATCCACGAGGTAAGTTACTCACAGTAGCTCGGGCATTTAACAAAGAGCAAAAAATAAATGATAATAAACTTCAAATCAAACTTCAAAGCTTGTGTCCAGTAGGGCTAAAATATACAGATTTGTATGTGTACAAGTAAAATACATCTGGGGTAAATACAAGAGGTGGTTTCAGTCTTCTCTCTAATGTTTATGCAGATTTGACTTCATATTTACTCCATATTTGAGGACACAGTGTCATAGTTTTTATGAAATAGTTTTATAAATGTTTCACAGTTCTATTTAAGATATTACATTATTTATAATAGCACTTTTACTGAAATCAAAAGTGTTATATCTATCAAATAAGTGAAAGGTGCATAGTGTTCACCCTTCCCAATTCTAAAATCTTCTTATTCCAGTTATCCGGAGCTGAAGCCGATTCAGTCCATAAACGCTCACCCCTCAAACTGCATCTGTATAAAGTTTGACCCGACTGGACGATACTTCGCCATCGGCAGCGCAGACGCTCTGGTCAGTCTGTGGGACGTGGATGAACTCGTCTGTGTGCGCTGCTTATCCAGGTACTGAAGTCACAGCGAAGCATCCAGCTGTTCTCCACATAAACCAATCAAAGGACGGGTTTCATATGACATCACAGCGTCCTGTTTCCAAGTAGTGTTAAAGGTGCATTGTGTAACTTTTCTGGTCGAAGGTCCATCACCTGCTTGATTCCGTGTAGATGTTTTTCCATGGAATGTTCTACAGGATGGCATTTAATTTAACTGTCTGCATGAGAACAAGAAGGCCACACGGCAGGGCCAAGTTACAGGTCAGATCTGTTTAGAAGACGGTCTGTTTACAGTAATAATGCATGTTTTACTGTAATGTAGGGAAATCAAACCACCTGTAATTGAATAAATACAAGATCTATTAGTTTAAGGCCATACTGTGGAACATCCCAGGCAAAGCAGTAACATCTTCGTGGACACAATTGATGGCAGACCCTCCATCAGAAAAGTTGTGCAGTGCATGTTTAAAGTAGCAGTACCCATTTTTATCTATCTGGTAGTTGAAGAAAAACAGTTTTGCCAAAGTAAATGAGACCGCTGTGTGATGTTTATTACTTAATACCAAAAATTATGCATGGGATTAGGCAGGTAAATGTCTGCTGTTAACTTGCAGATTTTTTATGTGTTTGGAATGAATAATTAGCCTCATAATGGTAATTCTCAGTAATGATTAGAATTTAGTGATTTTGGACAATACTATGAAATAATAGACTAGATTAATAATAAATTTGAGTTTCAACTAGTATCTTGTTTCGCTGTTGTCAGACTAGACTGGCCTGCGAGGACTCTCAGTTTCAGTCATGATGGAAAGATGTTGGCCTCCGCTTCAGAGGATCATTTCATCGACATCGCAGACGTGGAAACAGGTCAGGACTGAACCTGGACTGAACCTGGACTGAACCTGGACTGAACCTGGACTGAACCTGGACTGAACCTGGACTGAACCTGGACTGAATTTGGATTTGTTCGGAACCTGTACAGAACCAGGGTCTAAACCAGGGTCTAAACCAGGGTCTAAACCAGGGTCTAAACTGGTTCCTCTTCTATTCCTTTAGGAGAGCGGTTATGGGAGATTCAGTGTGACTCTCCCACCTTCACTGTGGCCTGGCACCCGAAGCGCCCCCTTCTGGCTTATGCCTGCGATGACAAGGACGGAAAATACGACAACAACCGCGAGGCCGGGACCGTCAAACTGTTCGGGCTGCCCAACGACTCATAAAAAACACAAACCTCCACCAGTGTGTAAAATACAAGTGTTAAATACGCAGTAACATTGTCTCACCAACAGAGGACATGCACACATACCTTGTTGTAATATATTGTTTTTTTAATCTGTAAAATATCTTGTTTTGATAATAAACTTTACATGTTTCTGTATTTCTTATTTCAGCTCTTCCATTTGAGTTAAGTAATAGAGTGAGACATATCTGAGCCAGGTTCATGGGCAGGAGTATATCTTAGTAAGAGGATAAAACTTTTAAAAAGCAAATAATGCATTTGGTATTTTCAATATATATAAAACAAGAAACAAAGTGCAAGAAACAAATGCCCAAATCCTATATTATTGTCTGCAGAAAGCTTTCAGCAGACTTACTCTGAGGAGAGAAACTAACCTTTTATTTAAATACTTGTAAATGCACCCAACATCATAACAAAAGATGAAGGTTGACCAATATTGTAAAACATATTTCCTAATTTATTCATATATCTTTTTCTATTTTTGTTTTTCAATGTATATAGTTTTATTCAGTGTTGGGAAGATTACTTTTAAATGTATTCCCCTACAGATTACAGATTACATACCCTAAAGTGTAGTTTGTAACGGAATCTATTAAATTACTTAAAGTAACGTAATCTGAATACTCTGGATTACTTGATTTGCTGTAGAGCAGCAAAGACTAGGATATCGTAACATAAGATGTTTTGTCTGCTAAAAGAAAATAAAAAGCCCAGATTAAAAAATATTATTGATAGAAGAGGAGGAGGAGACACGGTCCATACAGCGTGGTTTATTCTTGTTATATCCTAGTTTAGTCCTGGTTTTAGACCTGGTGTTAGTCCTGGTTTGAGTAGAATTACTGGGGTGGGGTGGGGGAATAGATGTAGCCCAAAATGTGAAAACAGGAAAATACCGCCGTGTAATCAATTTATTTCAACAAAGTAACTGTAATCCAATTACCACTCACTGAAACAGTAACTAACTGAATACAGTTACTCATAATTTGTTCTCTGATTATGTAACTCCGGTACATGTAATCTGTTACACCCCAACACTGGTTGTCAAGTCTTTAATTACGGAATGCAGGTCCAACTTGAAAAACCAGGGAAAAATACACAAGGCTCAACTCAGCTTGAAGATTTTTATTTGAATTGTTCAGTAGCAGTAGCAGTAGTAGCAGTAGTAGTAGTAGTAGTAGTAGTAGTAGTAGTAGTAGTAGTAGTAGTAGCAGTAGTAGTAGCAGTAGCAGTAGCAGTAGTAGTAGTAGTAGCAGTAGTAGTAGTAGTAGTAGCAGTAGTAGTAGTAACAGTAGTAGCAGCAGTAGCAGTAGTAGTAGCAGCAGCAGTAGTAGCACCTTTAAAGCAAACAAATATGCGCAATGAAATTAAATTTAACATTTTATAATTTCATTATTATCTATTTAAATTTTAATACATATACATAAATTATAATATTTACTATTTATATAATATTTCTTATATTTATTTATAATATTTATTTATAATATACCTTTTACATATTAACTTAAATAGCTACAATTTTAACCAAAGTATAATTTTACCAATCAATTTTAATCCTAAATATAACAATACAATTTTAAATGACTATATGAAATAAATGTAATATTTTATTATTTAAGACAAATTTTTATAAATTCAAGAATTCTTTTTAAGTGCTATATATATATATATATATATATATATATATATATATATATATATATATATATATGTATATATATGTATGTATATGTATGTGTATGTATGTATATATTATATATGTGTGTGTGTGTATGTATATATATGTGTATATGTATGTATGTATGTATGTGACAATTTTTATAAATTCAAGAATTTTTTTAAGTGCTAAATATACATATACATATATATATATATATATATATATATATATATATATATATATATATATATATATATATATATATATATATATATATATATATATATATATATATATATATATATATATATATATGTCTCTTTGAAAATTTAATCATTCAAATCATTGAAAATAGATGACCTGCCTTAAATCCATAAAAATAATAATGAAGTCTGAATCAAAAAAATGCATCGTGCGTCAGTAACTCACCGTTTATATGGAAATGCAACGTTTAAAACACATTTAATCTATCTTGTTATATTACACTGTATGAAAATCTAATTAAATGATCCGATATTTTAGTGTTTATTGAATTGTTTTGCTCGAGTGCTGGCAAACGTCTCAGATCTGGCAACCCGGAAGCTGCTACGTGTTTACAGCGCCGCTCTCCGCTCTGCACCAGATTTCACCGACTTTGCAAAATTTTCTGCGTTTTTAAGCCTGTCAACGCCTCAAACTCTGCCAAAAGCAAAGTCCACATCGACCTGACCCTCCAGTTTCCACACACTACCGCAAACATGACCGTAAGTTTAAAGAAATAACATTTTTCTTACAGAAAAGTTAGTTTAGCCGCTGTTGCTACTGTTCAAGCTAACAATCAAAGTAGTAAGATTTTACAATGGATTTTTAACACTTTGACTATTATACTAGTTTTATTACGCCTGAAAACAACTAACAAACTACCTTCAGAAGTAATACACAATAGATGCACATTTTACATTCGTTTAAATCAATGCATAATCAAGATTTTGCAGTAAATGTTTTAAATGGATTATATTTGATAACATTGAGTTAAGCACAATTATTATGAAAATGCACAGTGTTTTATTTTATGCGATTTATGTAACCTGGAATAAACAGAATTTTCTAGTACAGTTATGCATTCAAAGCTTCCAATGGATTTCTGTGCAAACTCTTTTTAAACAGTTTTGTTATAATGAATATAATGATATAAAGGAAGGTTTAATGATGTGTTTCTTTGTGTTTTCGACTCTTTAAACAGAAGCACGAGTTTGAGGTGGCCATGACGTGTGAGGGCTGCTCTGGAGCGGTCACCAGAATCCTTAACAAGCTCGGAGATGGTAACGAAACATTTGTTTTTGCATTAAACATATTTTACTTTAAGATTGTCATTGTTGTTCTTGGATTCATTTGGGATCTGTCATGGCATCTCATTCATACAGACTTCATGCGTTGTGTTTATATCGCACCTTTCCAGACACCCAAAGTGCTCCACAGTGCATCCTGAATAAAGGACTAAACCTAGACAAGACCAGATCCAAATATATGCTTCATTAGGGACTAGTCCAGGTTCTAGATCAGGCTTGGGGCTGGACTAAAGCTGGACTAAAGCTGGACTAAAGCTGGACTAAAGCTGGGGACTAAACATGGACTAAAGCTGGAGTAAAGCTGGAGTAAAGCTGGAGTAAAGCTGGAGTAAAGCTGGAGTAAAGCTGGAGTAAAGCTGGTCTAAAGCTGGTCTAAAGCTGGTCTAAAGCTGGTCTAAAGCTGGACTAAAGCTGGACTAAAGCTGGACTAAAGCTGGGCTAAAGCAGGGCTAAAGCAGGGCTAAAGCAGGGCTAAAGCAGGGCTAAAGCTGGGCTAAAGCTGGGCTAAAGCTGGGCTAAACGGGCTAAAGACGGGCTAAAGACGGGCTAAAGACGGGATAAGACAGGCTAAAGATGGGCTGAACATGGGCTGAACGTGGGCTAAACATGGGCTAAAACAAGACCATACTTCATCTGGACTAAACAAAACCAAGTCCTAACCAGAACAGTTATGAATTCACCAAAACAGAAATGTGGCAGTTGACTGTTATATCAGCCCATGGTAATGATTATGTAATGAATGTTATAGCTAAAATGTATGATGACCACTGTTGGGCAAGTTACTTCAAAACTGTAATGTGTTTTTTATGACTTGTTACTGTCATTTCAAAGTAATTAGTTACATTACAATATTACTGCGTTTAAATGTAAGGCATTACACGACTACTGCAGCACTTTTAAGATACTCTCACTCAAACTGTGAAGGTGCTGAACTTTTGTCCCGTATATGGACTGAACCAGGACTAAACTGAAACTGAACCAGAGCTGAACCCGGACTAAACCAGGACTGAACCAGGACTAAACTAGGTCTAAACCGAGGACTGAACCGAGGACTAAACCAGAACTAAACCATGACTAAACTAGGACTAAACCAGAGCTAAACCAGGTCGGAGCGGAGTTCTGCACCGGTCCTTTAGATCACAGTCACCCGACACTCTACGTGGGTGTGTTGCCGGCGTTTCACCGCTGCTGATATCACAGTGATTTTAGCGAATTTGTATGAAGAGAAACCCAACACTTCCATCCAGGTTAAAAAGCATTGTAATGCGCGTTACTCACATTTGTACCGTGGAAAATATTAGATTTTTTTCCCCTGTAATGCCACATTACTGCGTTACAGCAAAAAGAAACACATTACAGTAATTTGTTACTTTTATAACGCGTTACTCCCAACACTGATGATGACAGAATAATTTGAGTTGGTGCAATTATGAAATTGCAAAAACTGCAATTATTTCAATCATAGCATCTGCAAAGAGCATGTTCTGAAATTCAGGGGTTCTTGTATCTTGTATTTGTATCAGTTCATATTTCTGTCTTCGTTTTGCTCCATTAATACTCCGTTTAATAAATATATCGCAAATCGAATTGCAATTGCAGTAGGCAGAAAAATCACAATTCTCCCAAAATTCTGCAGTCCTAGTATAATGGCATCAAGCAGTAAATCATTTCTAGACAAAATTGCCACAATATTGTGCACACATTCTGAAAATTATCTTGTTTTTATGTTGGGATTGGCTATAAAAATGGAGTTAAATACTGGTGAGTTAAATTTTTTGTCAAACAAAACTCGTAGATCCAATCTCGTGTCTCGTCTCTTATTGTGGAAATTGTATCTCGTCCCACCCCTAATTTCCCTTTTGGATCAATCAAATTTGTCCAAGTCTAAACTTTTATGAGCAATAGACAGTTATTTTTGTCATTTCTGTAGGTGGTTTTACACGCTAAATATCAAATAAACTTGTAGATGGTAGCTATAAGTGTTCTTTCACAATAAAACAAAAGTAAAACTGTTGTGGTCAGTTTTTCTCATGATTTTTACTGCAGTCACATGGTGATCACGAGACATTTTATATGGTTTGGAAACAAAGTGTTTTAAATATCACTTCTGTTTCTTTCCTTCTCATTTCTTTTTGTGTACACTTTAACTGATTTTTTTTTTTTATTTTTTTGCAGAAGTGAAGTTTGAAATCGATTTGCCCAAAAAGCTGGTATGGATCGAGTCGGAGAAAGATGTGGATTTTTTGACAGAAACCCTAAAAAAATGTGGGAAGGAAGTCAAGTACAATGGACCCAAGTGAAGGAGCTGCTAACGCCTAACAGGTGAAAAACAAAGCAAAACATACACTTATTTATGTTACATTTGACATATTTTCCATATAATGGTTCATATTATTTTCCCTATAATTTTATACAACATTTTCTTTTGTTAAGGCCCGAAATACACTGAAGTTTAACTTGATGAATTTTAAACATATTTGAAATTCTTTAACAGTTGAGGCCTCATATACATATTTTAATACCATAATTGTCTCGCGTCTTCGTTATTGTATTACACGCTGGTCTCAGGCGTGTAAAACATCTCTAAACTATGGAAGCCGAGAGGGGTCACAACAAACGCAAACGCCGCAACAAATACAAATGCAACAACACAACAAAAAGCCACAACACACCAAAAAAATCCACAACGGAAATGACCACGGGAATCTATTTTCATGCAAACGCCGCAACAGATACAAACGCCACAACACAAACGCAAATGCCACAACACATTAAAAAGCCACAACAGAAGTGACTGCGGGACTCTATTTTCTGACGGACTGAACAAGCGGCAAGTGAAGAAGAAGAACTACAAAGTTGTAGTAGTAGTAGTAGTGAAAAGTAAAGGAATGGAGAAGTTGGAAACGTAAGTAAAATTAATTTATTGTTTTATCATTATTCGTTTCACGTTGTAGTTCTTCTTCTTCACTTGCCGCTTGATCGGTCCGTCAGAAAAGAGAGTCCCGCGGTCACTTCCGTTGTGGCTTTTTTTGGTGTGTTGTGGCTTTTTTGGTTTGTTGTGGCTTTTTGTTGTGCTGTCACATTTGCATTTGTTGCGGCGTTTGCTTTTGTTGTGACCCCTCTCAGCTTCCGTACTAAACCCGTTAGAAACTTTGTATAAATAAGCACTAAAAATCCATGCTAAAAAGCCTCGCCTGCACCACCTCTGTTCAATACTTGCCAAATATAAATTGCTCAGTTTTGATAACTTGCTTAAATTTAATCAAATATTCACATTATTCAAAATCATACATAACTCAGCTGCCCCCCCATGGAAAAAGTTTATGGTGCTTACTTCAGAGAAGACCTGCAGAGCCACGTGGTCCACAGCCAGAGGAGAGTGTCGTGTTCCAAGATGCAGAACCTCATTTGGTCATCATCATTCTCATATAGAGCCAGAAGTCTCTGGAACAGCCTCCCACATGAAATTATATCATGTATTAATTATGAAATGTTACACATTAATCTGTCCTGTACGAATGCAGCAATAAGAACTGTAAATATGTAAATAATGTATGGATGTGGTGACTAAGACTAAATGGGTGATTTTTGCAATACCTAGCACAAGCATATGACCTCTTTATGTGTGGGCACCTCACCTCAGTCCTGTTTGTCTCCATGGAAGTACAGAAGTTTAAATCAATAAAAAGTGAAATTCTGATGTAGGGTTTCAATATTTTCGGAATTTTCAAAGTTGGAAAAAATGTATACAGGAATCACAGGTGAAACTAATTTAATAATAAATTTAATGATAACTAATACATTTAATAATAATAATATAAAATAATAATACTAATAAATTAACAATAAATACATTGTTAATAAATATACTAATAATAAATAAAATAAAATATATAAATAAATAAATAATCTAATAAATACATAAACTAATAAATTAAAAATAAAATAATAACTAATAAATTTAGTAATAATTAATTTAATAATAAATTAATAACTAATCACAACTGAAACTAATTTCACATGGCACCTTTAATAAAAAACACACACATATGTAATGTTCTATAACCTTTTTGAGAATTTTTTATTTTTGGAAAATTCCCAGAATTTCTGAGCAAAACGTCTCATGGAAAATTGTCTTGTAATTTCCCACCTCTTTGCAGTCTACTGACGACTACAGGTCCTATAGTATTGTGGTATTTGGGTAATCTTATAATTCTGTGTAAAGGAATGCATTGGGAAGTCGTCATGTGAGTCTTGTATTTGTGAAGTTTGGAGGAAATTGCCTGAATGTTTGCTCTCGTGTTATTATCGTTTTGAAATGTTTGAAATACTTAAGGATCTGCAAAATCACTGTTACGAAGCATTTTTACCATAGTACCAAATGTTTGGGCTCAGGGTTGTTATAGTTAATCCACTAATCATGACTAGTCCACTATAAAAAGAATTGTAGTTGTATTTTAATAGTTGTTAATTGATTATTACCGTATTTTCCGGGCTATGAGACGCGCTCTTAAGCCTCTAACCCCATCAAAAAACGACTACGCACCCCGCAATCCAGAGCGCCCTATACACGAATCCACTTGGGTGTCCCAGCACGACTTCAGTAAACTACAAAGCCGCACCACCCGCAGCATACGCAAACACACACGGAGCAGACAGTGACCGCACAGCGAAAAACACCCACAGACACACTCACCACTCCACGCCGCCGAAGAACGGAACGGAGGAACGAACCGAAAAAGCGAGTGCAATGTGCCACTTCTAGACACAACTGAACAACTGAGTCACTGCGAACACGCTGACAATCCAGCGGTCCCAGACAGCACCCTCCCTACACAGTTGTGGGGAGTAACGGATTACTTGTACCGGAGTTACGAGTACAAATTCTGAGTAACAGGTTACCAGTTACGTGTAATTGGATTACAGTTACGGATTACTACCCATTTTGGGGCTATACCCCCCCCCGTAATTCCACTCATTGCCAGGTACTAAACCAGGTCTAAACCAGGTCTAAACCAGGTCTAAAATAGACCATTTAATGACAATGCGCCTTATAATCCAGAGCGCCTAATAGTGCGGAAAATACGGTACTTTGAAAAACATGCATTTTTTTCCATGCGCGGGATCACCTCTCCACAGATCTGACCACTATCTGCTTTCTCCATGGAGACAGACAAGATTAATGCTCTGCTGTTGAACCAGAACTGTTACCTAGTAAATATTTTGATTTGATTGTCGATGAAATATTGCATAGAATTTCCTTTTTTTGTTTTGTTTACAATTACAAAGTTTCAATTTTGTGTCTCTACCTTTTTGTTTTTCAGACATTACTCATTGCTGAAGTGTGTACATCTGACCTGATCACCTCACTCAACGCACAACAGCGCCCCCTGCTGCTTCCTTTAGCCTTTCTTCACCGTTTGCACAGGTTCATAATGAAGGCATTTTCCCTGTTTACAATTGAAGCCAAACCACACAATTGACCGATCGGTGCTATCAAATCACACTATAAAATTACACAAAAAATTATTATATTCTTGCAGTTTTAGGTCAATATTCATTGAACTGTTAAAATATATAAAAAAATCAATTTGACTGTTTTTTTTTTTCATGTAAACATTGTGTACCCAGACTATACTGTGAAAACATGATTCACAAATAAACTACAGCAAGCTTAGATGTCCAAAATCACTTCTTAGTCTCTAGATTTTTACTTGATAATTAATTAAGTTTAAATTCTAAGCACTGTACCTGATTTTTGCAGTCTTAAAAAATGAAAACCGGAGCTCGTTCATTTGAAACAGTTTGCAGCACTTCCTGATTATCAGACAATAAAATGCTTTATAGTTTATTCAGACCACAAGATCTGCTTATACAATATATCTGTACTGGAACAAGGCACATTTTGCGCAAAGCTTTGGCAATTAATGGTGTACTATGTAACTTTTTGGTTGGGTGTCACCTGCTTCTTACTATGGAGATGTCAATACTCTGCCTAGAATGTTCCACAGTGTGACATTAAACAATTCTACCTTACATGTATTCAATTACAGGTGGTTTTATAGCTCAAAAATACCTTGAAAAACAGGCATTGTGACAATGAACAGCGTCGCCTCTCCACAGATCTGACCTGGAACTTGGTCTAGTTTGATCTCCATGATGATAGAAAGGTTTAATGCCATACTGTGAAACATTCCAGACAGAAGATTTTAAATAATTCCTTAAAATTGTGAATTTAATAGGGACTAAAAAAATAATTTGCTAACTAGATCTGTTTATGCCTTTTTATTTAAAACACGTAATTTCCTGCTTCTCGGATCATTTACTTGACACATATTTGTTTTTTTTCTGCTGTAGTCTTTTATTTTTCTTTACAATCAACTTAATTTAGACATGTTAATCGTTGTATCAGTGAATGGGAGAAAAGTAATCATTTGTTTTGTGAAATAAATGATGAAGATTCACTTGTGTTTGTGGAAATCTTTGACTGAATCTTTAAATATACCAAATATAATAATTATTTGTGAACCGTACTGTGTAATAAAAGGTTAAATAAAGTTCACACATTTAGTAAGTTTTCTTTTAAAGGACTTGAGCAGCCAAGATTTAGATTCTACATTAAAAATTTTATCTATGTAGTTTCCTCATCATAAACAGACCTGGAGTTGTGTTTTGTTTCATTCACACATGTTTAACACAAACCCTGCATTTTTAAACAGAAAACTTGTCATGCGGTGAGAGAGGAAGTGCTCCACCATATTTTTAAAGTCCATGCACCTTCACTGGAATCATTTAGATCATTTCATTGGAGCAGAGCATTTTGATCATAATTATGAGAATTATAAAGGGTTCCTCAAACATGTGTGAATGAAACAGGCATGTTTTTGTCCAGATCTGTTTTTGAGGAGGTAACAACATTATAACACGACTTAAAGCTCACAAGAGTCCGTATTGTGTAATATAGGACCTTACGCTTGACCGATCTATGTCCAGTGTTGGGAAGTAACAGATTACATGTACTGGAGTTACGTAATCAGAGTACAAATTATGAGTAACTGTATTCAGTTACAGTTACTGTTTCAGTGAGTGGTAATTGAATTACAGTTACTTTGTAAATAAATGGATTACACGGCGGTGTTTTCCTGTTTTCACATTTTAGGCTATATCCCTTTTTTTTTTTTTTTTCTGGTCTAAAACTCTCTCTAAACCAGGTCTAAAACCAGGTCTAAACCAGGTCTAAAACCACTAAACCAGGACTAAAACCAGGTCTCAGGTCTAAAACCAGGTCTAAAACAGGTTCTAAAAGCAGGTCTGTAATCAGCAGGCTTCTTAAATTTAAGATTCTACAATAATCTGTAATCTGTAGGGAATACTAAAATCTTAAATGTGTCAAAACTCATATTAATATATTTATTGAATTCTAATTCTTAGTTGCAAAAACTAAATGGACATGATTATTTATTTGTTATAATTTTGTGTTTTGGTTCAAGACAATTTTCCAGTCAGAAAGCGGAATGAGCCTCATATGAGTATCTCATTTGGGTTGCCAGTTCCAATGCTGAAATCCAGTTGGTTTAAAACTAAAATGCCTCTGTCTGATCTGAATGGTCACTACCAAAACCCCAGCGCCTGCAGCCAATCTTTTCTTTCACATGAGACCTGTCCATACACTGACAATGAGAAAAACCTGGACTTCTATCTCAATGTTTCCCAAACTTTTTTTCTGGGGACCCATATTTTAAAAGATACAAACCTTCACGACCCAAGTCAATATAGACATTATTCGTAAATCACAAAATAAAGGTGGATTTGACCATTATTGAACATTAATAAGGATATTTTATTGTTGACTGAGTGATTGTGTCTCTGAACAATTAGTATTACTCAAGTTTAAACAATGAAAAACATTGAAGCAGCTATAAAAGGATCCATAAGTGGACTATTTGGACATTAAATGTAGCCATAACATTGATCAGAAAATAATGTAATATGTGCCCTTTAATATAAAAACTTCTCATAGTACACAGAAGCCATGTTTTGGAGGATGACTTTTGTCTCTATTTGCAGGTCAAGGCTCTGGCGATGCAGGTTCAGTTGTGATTGTTGTACCTTTTTTAAAACAATAAGAGTGCAGGCTACAAACAGATATAACGGTATCATTACTAGACAAGATTTGCACTCAAACTAAATCTTGCGGTATTGCTGAGGAAATCCGTAAAATGAACTTATGGTTTTATACGGTTTTAATCAAGTCCTCATAATTATTTTACTCAGAGTTGTATTTAGATTGATTCATGCATGTCTGAGTAATTCTGTATTCTGCATTTAAGGCTTGCCATGTGGATAAGGTCTTTTCAAACTTCTACTTTTGTGCACAAGAGGGAGCTAAAAGACCAATACTCCGAAACTGGAAAATCGTTTGTACAGAAGACTGAACAGGTGGGTTATGTCTGAGGATGCCAGGTTTGATGTGAAGAATTCAGCCTGGTATTTCCTCAAAGATTAAAATTCCACAAACAAGATCAAGTACTCTGTGGGACCCGTTCTGTGGTCCCTGCAATGTTTGTCACACATGAAATGAATTTAAAACCACTTAAAGTTAGCATTTGTTCTTTTAAGACATGTTATAATGTACGTATCAGAAACATACCAGAATATTAATCTGCCTATGTCTCAAAACTAAAAATGCTCTGTTCCATCAAATTAAGAGATACCTTTTACCTTTAGTTCAAGTAGATGTAACTGAATGTGGGGCTGAGACCCACAAAATGTACTTTATCCCCAATATGAAAGGACACACAGGTAAGAGTGCAGGTGGTGGAGAGGGAGAGGCAGAGTCAGAATAAACTTTACAATAATGTACCTTTAATAATCTTGGTTAAAATGGAGCCCAAACATCATCTCTGAATTACTCAATTATAGCACTGCAAATACTAACAGCTTAGGTTCCACACACCTAAAACAGAATATGAACCCCAATAAAACAGCAGTGACCATCCACCTACAACAGGCATGTCCAAACTATGGCCTGTGGGCCAAATGCGGCCCTCTGACAAATTTTTCTTGGCCCTCAGGCTTCCAGTGAATTGGCCCAAATTACCTTGCATCAATTAAATATTAACTTTGTACTTCAAGTTTTGAAAATCTATTTTGATAAAGCTAATATTTAATATTTAGTGTTTGGGTTTAAGGATCTTATTATTCACTGTACTGAGTTCCAGTCTACGGCCCTCGATCGGCAATCTGCTTCATCTGTGTTTAGATATGTGGCCCTTGATGAAAAAAGATTGGACACCCCTGACCTTCAACAATAAATTACAATAATTACGCCACAAAACATCATTCAAACATGATCAAATACAAGAAAAGTACAGACAACAAGTTACCCCAATATTAGTTGGTGCCTTGACGGCAAATGCTGAGGCGCTGCAGCTGTATTTTCGAGGCAGCTAGCATCAGGCCGGACTACACTGCCTCTGCACATGGTATAAACATTGTCCATTTGCAGTCAGTACAAAGAAAAATACACTGCAGCAGGGTTCCTTACAAGCGTCAGCGCAAGCAGCTGCAACAGCACGGATTTATCAGGTAGGTCCGATCAGTCTGACTCATCCACACACTGCTTAAATAGTTTAAAATGCAGAAGCGACAAGAGAGAGACAAATGCGACCTGCTACAGTAGACTTTGGCTTCGTTCAGACTGCAGGGCTTAATGCTCAATTCAGATTTTTTATGAAATCCGATGTTTTTGCGAGGTCGTTCACATTTCCAATTAAATGCGACTTGTATGTGTCTCCAGTGTGAACATTAAACGGCCCAAAAGTGTCCCGCATGTGCACTGGAGACACGACAACGTCAACCGCAGTGAGCGTGCTCTGTGTTTATGGAAGTTGTCCAAACATGGACGCAGCATTGAGCACCTGGAGATTTTAAAGTTCCTCTCGTACCGGAGCCAGAACATGAACAACTTACTTGTTTTAAGGAGGAGATTGAGAAGGAGAAGGACGAGGTTTTTGGCTGTGACGTTTTGTGGGACAGTGGCAGCGACGTCCATTGAAAGGAACGTGTGGATGTGGAGACGGAGCCAAGAGTGGTGAGTGGTGATGTGCTTCACTTCAGTGACATGGAGTTCATTAACAATTTTCACCTACTTCAGCGCAGAATAGTGACGTTTGTGGCTTGTTGATAACGTGTAGGTGGATGAATGCGCTTTGGCCGTTCAGACTGAAGTCACATGTCAAAAGATCAGATATGTATCGGTTTCAGGAGCACATATCCAAGTGTCCTGGGTCGCAATTGAAAAAATCGGATCTGTGTGGTTCAGACTGTCATTAAAAGATCAGATACAGGTCACAAAGGGGCCAAAAAATCGGATTTGGGAAACTTCAGGCTGCAGTCTGAACATAGCCATAGTCAATTCCAGGGCTGAAATGATCCAAATGATTCTAGTGAATGTGTATGGAGTTTCAAAACACACTGGAACACTTCCTGAATTACCACATGACATCACAACAGAGTGGAACAGAGTGTTTTTTGTTTGACAGCCTAAAAACTCAGCCTATTATGCCAAGTTTGTATGTTAAATATGTGTGAATGAGACAAAACCCAACTCCAGGTCTGTTTATGATGAGGAAACTACATTAGAACAGAGATTAAACAATTGTGTAATACGGGTCCTTTAAATGAACTATAACAGTGCATTATTCAGGCTTTTACAACTACATTTCCTTTTCTGTATTTAACACTTGAAAATCTCAGTAAACCCTTATTCTGAGTCTGCTGCAGGTCTGAACATGCTGAAAACTCCATGTTATTTCATCTCTTCTTTCCAGGTCAGTGTACTTCTTATATACATTTTGCTTGTCTCGAGCTGTGGACTGTACCATCTGATCTGAGCGTGGGGAGGTACTGATCCAGGGAGTACAAAGGGTCTCAAATGGACAAGAATGTGGATTAGAGTGTTGAGGATGCCATGTTTTTGTTGTTGGATTTAAAAGGCAATTGAGAGAGAGAGAATAGTTGTTTTCATATCATCTTGATTTATCAACTTAAAAAAAAATAAAAATTCATTCCCTACAATTGTACAACAGATAATACTCCCTACAACTGTACAACAACTCACCCTTATGTAACAGATAATACTCCCTACAACTGTACAACAACTCACCCTTATGTAATAGATAATACTCCCTACAACTGTACAACAACTCACCCTTATATAACAGATAATACTCCCTACAACTGTACAACAACTCACCCTTATGTAATAGATAATACTCCCTACAACTGTACAACAACTCACCCTTATATAACAGATAATACTCCCTACAACTGTACAACAACTCACCCTTATGTAATAGATAATACTCCCTACAACTGTGCAACAACTCACCCTTATGTAACAGATAATACTCCCTACAACTGTACAACAACTCACCCTTATGTAATAAATAATACTCCCTAC